TGGAAATCCGCTCGCAGAATTGCGTCCTGCACCTCTGAGCTGGACCCCGTTGGAAGTAAAAACGACTCCAGATTTTGCCGTTCTGTTACTAAACACAGACAGTGTAAGTCAGCTTTTGACCTGCAGATACAAAGGGTAACAGATTGCTTCTCAAAGGCAGCACCTGGTACTCCACTGAAGATGAACAGAAGCGTTCCAGGCTTTTTTTGTTTTCCCAAACATAAAACCTGAGAGAAAATGGATTAAAACTATTCACACAAGAGTAACTCAGCGCACGCAGTGGCATTAGGAACGCCCTGTTGGTCGGCATATCCTACTTCAGCGTGCTTGATTAGATTTAGGGAAACAAAGCTCCCTGCTCAGCTGACCTCCGCTCCCCGTTCTCGTGTACACCGGCAACTTCCTTGCGATTTCGGCGAGGATTTGCCTCTGCACCTCTGGCCTTTCTTCATTTTCATAGCGTTCTTGGTCAGCGTAGGACATATGGTACTGGAAGCAGAAGTCATGACAGGAGCAGTTACCCATGGGTAGCAGAGACAGTATTTTAAATACAGGCAAGTTTGGAAACGTTTTTACCTCCCGCTTCTTCTAATGAGATTAATCTAACGTGAAAAATGTTTGTTAAGAAGACAAAGAGAGATAATAAGTGCTGCACAGCTGGAATCAGTACATCAGTAGGAAATGCAGCAGCGAAATTAAGGATCACAAAACAACATACTAGAACTGTTACTACTGCTGCCTTAGATGACTATTTTTCACAAATAACACTACTAACCATGATAAGGACACTTTAAGCACTTCCCTTGTGAGCAAGAACCTGACCCCAGCCACAGTTTTCTATTTCTAAAACTGGGATTAGTCGTTATTTATAAATTTTCATTCTTAGGAATGTAATTAGGATCAGATTAGAGCCATGCATATTTGGAGAGCCACACAAACATCATCCTTGTTCTACTGCTCCAAACATAGCGTTTTATTAGTATTTCGTAAAGAGGTAATACAACATGCAAAGAAAAATAAATCTACCAATTCAAGGAACATGGAAAAGCAAGTATTTGGTAGAAAAAAACCTGAAACAAATGTCTGCCTCTCACTGTCCCCTGCTCCAACCACTAAATCATACTCTTATCTTAAAATAAGCCACCTACGTTAAAAAAACAATACCAAACCCTCAACTAAAACATTACTCAGGAAACAATCTACTTTTGTCACAGTAAACCCCAGTTTCTCTCGCCACAGTACATTGTTACCTTTATCTTCCAGATGCTGCTGACTGGGGAAGCAGCAGGACTGGAGCTACTGGAGCTACACGTACACCCAGCACCAAAACAAAAGCCGTATGCGATGTGCATGGCACAGTCCTCACTGCCACAGACATGAGACACCAGAACCTCGGCATGTTTAAAAGGAGAATGATTCTTCTGTCCCTCACTATCACAAGGGAGAGTCTGACAAACGAAGCAAACTTAACCACTACAAAGAGCCGTACTCCAGCTGGCAAAGGGCTCCCAGCAGAGCAGGCAATGCTGGGCTTTGGTGGGACACTGAGTGTTCACCTACTCACCACAACAATGTGGCTCAAGAGGCCAAGAACCCCTCACTACCATTACAAAGGCACCCGTCTCCACCTGCACTGTAACATCCTCCGTGAAGAGCGAAAACCAAAACCAAAGGTCCTTACTCAGGAGAGCCCAGCAAGGCTACACTGAGGAAGGTCCTCAGGATTTGGCTTGCAAATTGTTACGTGCTTAGAGATCAACAACACTATAAATATGGAAGTTAATAATCATCAATCCTGTTCTCAACATGAAAATTCCTGTCTGCTCCTGGAACCCCTGAAAAGGCAGCGTTAACAGTTAACACCATCTCTGACTTAAACCGTGCTCCTTGCGGAGCGAAAGGATTCTCAGAACAGTACGTCACTCCATTTTTATGGACAACTCCCAGTCACTTTCCACCTCGTCAGGAAATCCCCTCAGCTGTCCAGATCAACCAGACTGAAGGATTTTTGAGTTCTCTTTAGCATCCCTGCTTTCGTTCTGCAATGAATGAAAAGTGCTTGGACTCTTACCTTTTTGCCTGGCTGCACTGGGAGAGTAAAAATGGACTTCCAGTACGTCCACACAAAGAGCACAAAGAGAATATGGAATATTATAAGATAGGCCACTAAAAAACAAAACAAAACAAAACAAAAAACAGAAGCAGAACAATGACTTCTTAAGCAAAAGTTTCATTCATGATGGGCATAATTCCAATCTTTCACAACAATGCCCCAAAAAAATAAAGGAAAAAAGAAAGATTTACAGTACCAACCAGTATTACAATACAGCTAAACCTCATGGCCAAAGGGTCAGTAGCATTTCGGAGATCTGTGGCTGCAGTTAGGGGTTACCTATCTCACAAGCCTCCCCTTCTCCACCCAATCCGATTCCACGGGTGAGGAGGACCACCGCTGTAAGAGACATCACCCCCAGGGCAGGTGACAACACTGTCTCACTGGGAATGACAGGATTCCCATCTCCTCCCCACGTCCTAGGCACAGGCAAAGCAGAACTGTTGGTGCTGAGCACCATACAGGCTGATACTGCAACCCTCCAGCATCTCCAAATTTTGGGTTCAGTTGCTACTAAACACACTTGGAATCACAGCACCACATTATCAGTGTACTGTCCATGTGGGCAATGCGTTCTTCACCACTTCGAGAGAAGTCACATGCTTTAGCAGAGCTTTACATCACCAGAAAGAAAAATAAAATCAAATCTCCTATTAAACATCTTTTAGATTTGCAACAGTTGGTAAAACAGATCAGGAAAACATCTCTCAAACGGAGCAAAGCAGGTCTTGTGATTACTGAGAAAGAATTGTAATCCACTGGACACAACGTTGTCACATGAAATCCAGCATGCATCTGAGTAATTTATTTCGAAAGGCAAACCTTACTGCAAAGCCTTTGGGCATAAGCAGGCATACTGTGGTTCAGAAAGCCAAAGGACAGCGATCCTTCAGCTGCACAACCATTTGATTGTTAGTTCTTTAACATTCTGCTCACTAAGACGTTATCAGACAGTTACAAGGCAGCTTTATTTGAACACACCATTTAATCGTAACAACCACCTCATTCTTCCTGTTTCATTTAAACTTCAAATTCCGGCAAACTAAGATTAAACTAACTAGTGGAAAAAGAAGTCCAAAATCCAAACACCTCCTAACTTCTCAGGCAAGGAAACGACTGTGAAAATTTAGTTGGTAAAAAGGCCAAACCCAGCGGTGATACTTTCTAATGAGATGGCAAACGATCTGATACACCTCACAGGAACGTGGTGGGTTGTGTGACTGACCTGTAAATCAACAATAGTACATTATTATGCTCCTAAGCTTGTTTGAGATGTGATCCTTATACCACGTGCAGGTGGAGCTCAGTCGTTTTTAAATGAATAGGTAAGGAGATAAATCTTGCAACAGGTTTAATTTTGTTGATAAAGCAGTACAGCAGCATGTTAGAGGAAGCTGACCTGGAGATGCACTAACAGATTAGGCAACTAATAACTTTCTTCCGCTGAATAACCACTAACTCCATGCTTTATTCTATAGTTTCTCCGCAACAGCTACACCTACTTCTCTCCTGCATAACCCTTAAGGAGAAGTGCAGGTAAGGGGCTGCCTGTATTAGCCTGATGCCTCCGAAGCACCTCCAGGAAAGAGGAGGAATACCAAAATGGCCACTAACCCCTTATCCTTAGAACATGACTGTGGCCTCCACCAGTGGAAACAGTCTCATCAACTGATCCTGCTGCTCTGCCCGACCCATTCAGCGACCTCACGACGCTGCATCTGGGACCTCAGAGCAACGTCTGTCAGCCTGTACTACCAAAGGAACTGAGAAGTGTTTGAGCCAAATAAGAACGAGGCAGAAACCTTTGCTCTAACTCATCCGTGGTGGTAACTGAAAGTTACCGTGTTACCACTCAATACCTGGTTAGTGGTCAACAGAACCAAGCAAAAAATGGTTTGCAAAGGCCCCCCTAAAAAAAACAGCTTTCACTGAAAGATCAAACAAAACAGTGGGAAAAAAAAATAGGTGGGCCCCAGAACAGAAGTAGTCTTTTCTGTTTAGCTTGTAAAATCAGCTCTGAAAACATAGGACAGAGGGAGAAAAGGTGCGCGGGTGTCCATACACAGATAACATCCACAGGTTTTTCTGAAACGGTGAAAGGGATCAAAGCCTTTTCGTGTTCTTCTGCTTATACTGCAACTGAACAGGGGCATTTCCCAACGCATCCAACAGTTACAGCATGTCTAACAATGCATGCTGTACACTCCATGAGTGTGCAATTACAGGAAGGAAACACTGAAAGAGCATCTAAGTTTGAAAAACTGACAGTATTTTTGCTATTTTAACTAGAACATTTGTGACTTTTCACGCGAGGACTAAATGTCGAATCGTAAACTGAACGCACATACCTTTTTCCACGGGGTTGCTCAGAGTCACTGAAAAAGAAAAAAGCATGTGTCTACAAATAGGATTCCCAGAAAAGTTTGTGACAAATAACGCTTCTATTTGAAAAAAAAGGTTCAAATTGAAGACAAAAAGGTTCAAATTCCACAGACAAAAAGAGAGCCCACAGTTTAGCATCAAAAGCATCCACAACAATTCCCTGTTTACTCACACAAACGACACCCACAACAAGATGTTCAATAGCTGTTACTTACGCTGTGTTTTCCCTTGTTATAAAATATACTTTGTATATTTGTACATCAGAAATACACCAAAAATAGTCCACTGGCGACAGCACTGTGACAAAATTACCGGGGCTCCTCTAGCCACTGTCCAGGCAGCATCTCTATGCATGTACCTAGAAGCACGCACTTGTAGCCTGCTTTGTACTAGTCTCTAGGTGGTCTCGATCCTCCACAGTAAGCAGTGCCCCAACGCGTTTCTGCATCAGCTTAAATAAAAAGATGACAAATTGTCTCAGCTTTGGCCTAGTCAGCAACCAAGGCCACGCTGCAATGGCTCAATTATTCTTACACTTCCTGCTGGCAGAGTTTTTACAACCCCTCCTTACTTTACCACACTCACAGGAGCAGCCCCTACCAACAGAACCACTTAGAGCAACCAGCAAAGGGTACGTTGCTCAATATCTACTTCTGCTGATTATTTTTAAATCCACCCGTTATTTTACGAGCTGTCATCCAAGTTTAACAGAAAAGATAAAGACATCTTCCTTTAGCCGAAAATGGAGCAGTTCTATGGTATCTTAACAGAATACTGCTTGAAAGACAAAGATTGTTCATGGGGTGGGAGCCCCTCGCATCGCGTCCACAGCCTTGGATCTCGTGGTTGCAGCTGAACTGTGTTGCTCCTTAGAGGAACAGAGGAATGAGAGGAAACCAGTGGCCACAGAGCATCTCCCAGTGGCGCAGCAGTCTTACAAAAGCAAGATCATACTGTTGGAAGACTCAAAGATTTGAGAGATCGCATATACTAGCAGTGACCCTTCAGTAACCCTGTCAGGCTGTACAGAAAAAGCAGTGACTGAGGGCCTGGAGCCTTTTACTTCTAGCCAACAGCCAGCGCCTGGAAGGAGACTCTACTCTTCAAGACTCACTCTGTCGTCTTACTCGAATAACAAAGTTGGAAAAGGTAAATCAGAGTAGGAACCAAGCTTTTACTAATGAAAGTAGTTTTTCTTAAAACCCTGCTGACAAACAAGTCTGATCTGCAAGCTCTACGACAACACAACAACGTAGATGGAAAAAAGAGACCAAGTGTTTCCTGGGTCTCTGCACCTGCCATTTCAGATGAACTGTCAGGAAACCCTTAGTTTTTCCTTCCATTTGCTGCAAATCAAACTGTGAAGAGTACAGCAGCTTTTCACAAATACTGCTTGGTTCCCTCCTGAACTACGTTGCACTTGCAGGACGGCCTTTCTAAGGGTTTTACTTGAGAAAAAAGCAAACTCCTAAATAAAAATTACATTAAAAAGGTCCCTGAAGAGAACGCTGGGTCCTTGTTCTCACAGTGGCAGCAACCACCAACCAGATATGAAATCAAGGCCTCCTCTGGAGGAGAACTTGTTGGCCATATCAGTCACTGAAAGTTTCAGACCCAGTATGGTGAGATACCTCCAGGACATCGCCCCCATGCTACCTTCAATCCTCAGCAGTCTGCATGACTAAAGATGAGAATCAAGAAGCCAAACAGAGCATCTGCTATTCACACGCCTGAAACAGCTGAAATGGCAATAAACCTGGGGAAAAAAAGGAGTCAACACATAAAGCCTTGCTACGTTAGAAATCTGGAAGAGAGAGAAAATGTCCTGAGAGCTGGTGTTCAAGTAACTGTGTATACCAGCAGTTAATGTTCAAATCCTAAAATAATTAATCTAGTCATTTCAACTTCTGTATGGATAACCTCCTCCACACAGAAATAAAATACACGAGAGAGAAAGATGGGGCAAGAAAAATAGATGGGTGTGGGCAACGGGTGTGGGCAAAGGAGTGATTCTAAGCAGGGAGATGAGCTCCTGCCAGCTTAACCAGCATTTACAGAATAACGCAGGCCCCATCCAAACCCCACTTAAATTAGCAGAGTCTTTTCTAATAGCTGCACTAAGACTTAGAACTAACCAGTATTAAATACTACCGAATTTGCACAGCACTGCAAACAAAGCATATTTCATAAGACTAACAGCATTGCAAGAAAATACTGTAAAGTTTTTGTCACACAGTCTACTCAACAGTTAGGTGCACCTTGGAGACACCGTTGCACGTGAATCCTCGAAACAGCCCACAGTCCCAGAGATAGACTAAAACACCATGAAGTGTTTGGGGGTTTTGCCTAGCTGCCACTTAAAACAGATCAAAGAAGCTGCATTTCATTTTAGCCTCCATCGAGACAAAACAATAGGTCTTACTGCATTAGCAACCCGAACAAAATCTGACTGAAATCTGCTGTGCAGTACCAGAAGGCAGCTCTTTTCACAGAAGCGTCTCAAGAACGGTCCGAGACCTCTGGCTTCCTTCATCTGGCTTACCCCGTCCTGAAGAGAAAGACCTGCGTGCTCCTCTTCACAATTTCTAAAGGCCAAGCTACCAGCTTTCCTCTCCACCTCCACCAGACCTAGCAATCCTTTCTTCTAGTAACGGGTTTTCGCACACACACTAAACCAGAATGTAATAAACACAAGAAAACTTGCAACTTCCTAAATAAATTGCTACATTAAACTATACAATTCCTAGTCAGGACCAAAAATTTCCATTCTGAAATTTAGTGGTTTTCACACTGCTGTGACAAGTTATTTGACTCATGAGTGGGATTCAACCTAACCTATTTTTTTTTTCCTTTCCAGAATGTTAAAAAACGACTGCAACGCGGGGGCACGTACTGATTTTTGTTACCGCTTAAACCAGAAATCACATCTGAACGTTATCATGCGGCAACAGATGGACTTCCACAAAACAA